ATGACTCGCGGTGTCGTGTTGCTGGTAGCGACGTTTCGGCTGCTAGTCCTGCTAGCCTTCATCAGGCAACTGAAGTCTGGATGCTGCAGGGTCCGCTATATACCGCTGGACCGCGTCCTCTGCGTGTCCCCCGCCGTGTATTGCGGACGCAGTAGGGGCGACCTCAGCAGGCGTCGCACGCTCCACTTCAAGGGCGTGAGGGGGCGTGTCCTCGGTGTGGCTCCGTTGCGCTCCAATGCTCTGGTGGTTGTGTTGGCGGATGGTGGGGAGCCAGAACCCGGGGATGTCGATACCGCTGTCTCTGTTGATGTTGTGTCCATTCGGGCGGATGTGGANGGTATCTTGTAAACCACTCCTCCGCGTCTTCCGGGTGGGATGGGATCCTTAGGACGCACGAGTTGGTTCCTCAAGGTGGTGGATGATCGGAACACATGCGGACGCCGTGGTCCTCCAGGATCCTCTTCAGCCGTCCGGAGATACCGTCCACAAAGGGAAGAACGGTGAAAGCCTTGTACTCCGGTCGCTCCACTTCGGTGCTGGTCTTGGGTCTCGATGACTGCCGGATGAAGGACGCTGGATACCCGTTCGCCGTGAGGGCAGAGGTGACTGTGATCTGTCAACATCGGCGTGTCCAATAGAATCGCGTATCTGTTTTTAAAAGCGTCTGCGATTGCTTTATCCTCGCCGTTGTTTACGACTTCGTTTTTATCGCCAGCCCGAGTCTTCATTTTGCCACGTTTTCCTTTTCCAAACCAAATTAAGCCATATTTTTAGTTTGCGACAGAGTCATCCAATTGTCCTTAAAATTATGAAAAACGTCCGCGTCTCGGTAACTGACGATCTTATTTCCCTGTAGACTCACGGTGATTTCCGAGATTAAATTTCGAGCCATGTTGTTATACACGGTACGGTTATCGTCGGATGCGCCGTCTAGATCGAGTTAAAAAGCGAGTTTGGCGGTACCGGGTACAATTACGTCGTCCATGCCTAAAGCCGGGAATTTCACGTTTAACGTGTGACCCGCGGCTATCGTGTTCGGGTTGTAGGTAATGGTTACTTTGCGTCTTTCGCCTTTGATCGCGCGAGGCACTTTTAGCCTGCGACTCCGGTTTAGTTTTTTAGTGTATTGATGCGACATATTACCTTTACATTATACGATTCTTATTTTACGATTTTTATTTTACTGAAGTATTTTTAAAAGAAAAGAAAACGCGATTAATGTTAAACCCGCTGCGAAATATAGATCTCCGAATTTTTCACTTTGGATCTTATCGCCGACGTGATCGATATCTGCGCGCATGTCACCCAGAATTTGCTCGATGTTGCTTAAGTCAGCTCGAATTTCTGACAGTTGATCTTTAATTTCGCTATTC